TTAAGACAGTTTAAAATAGGTTTTCTGTTACTTAGAGCCAAATATTTAAATGACAAAGAACTTAAAGTGGTCATTACTACTTGATACCTACTGTTATATGTACCTGTCACTTCTTCCTAAGAAGAAAAAAAATATTGCTTATGTTACATGTTTCAGCAAAAGACAAAGGTCAAAGGTGGGTGCAATGATATCTAACTCTTCAAGGAGCAGCTGAATTAAGGCCTAAGAAATCTCATATTTAAATGGAACAAATAGCACAGGACATTGGACACTGAATGAGAGCTGGGTCAATTCAAGGAACTGACCAAGGAGATAGCCTCAAGAACAGGTCGAAAGAATACTCAGAATAAACGAGTGAGATAAAAATAAGCTTGCCATGAGAAAACTCTTTTATAGTCAAATACCAGTTTTTGTTTTCAAGAAAGAAGTCAGTATAATAGTGAACAAGGAAAATACAGCCCAAAAATGGAGAAGTGGCTGAGAGACACTTAAATGAAAGAAGCAGCGCCATCTGGCTGTTGGAAAAACTGACTGGCATTAGGACTAAAAATGCCACCAAAGTTAAAATGCCTAGATAAAACTGTTCTAACGATGTCATACTCAGGACTTTTTTTTTTATTATATAAGTTTCAGGTATACAACATTATAATTCAACATCTGTATACTCTACAAAGTCTCCTAAAAGTCTAGGTACTAGCCATTCACCACCACATACAATCGACTCTTTTCACCCCTTCTGCTCTCTCGCTCGCCTCCCAACTTCCAGCCTCTGTGGTAACCATCCATCTGTTCTCTGTATCTATGACAAATGTTTAGATAGACTAACCAAGAAAAAAAGAGAAGGCTCAAATAAGTAAAATCAGAATTGAAAGAGAAGTTACAACTGATACTACAGAAATACAAAAGATCATAAGAGACTACTACAATTATATGTCGACAAACTGGACAAGCTATAAGAGATGAATAAGTCAGAGGTTAAATTAATTAAGGTTTCTAAAACACTGCTTTAGAGGAAGTGCTAACAATCCTAGTGAACAAAGAGAAACTTCATAAAAACAAGACAGCACTGCACTGAAAGAAAAAAAAAAAAAGAACAAGTTTCCCCTGCATATCCAAAGGAAAGGAAATCAAAAAGATTTCTGCATGTTCGTTGCAGTATTACTCACAATAGTCAAGATATGCAAACAACCTCAGTGTCTATCAATAGATAAATAATAAAGAAAATATGGTATATATGTAAAATGGAATAATATTCAGGCATAAAAAGGAAACATTGCCATTTGCAGTGATGTGGATGAACCTGGAGGTCATTATGCTAAGCGAAATAAGCCAGACACAGAAAGACAAACACTGTATGGTCTCACTTATATGTGGAATCTAAAAAAAAGTCTAACTCATAGAACCACAAAGTAGAACACTGGTTGCCAGGGACTGAGGGGTAAGAGAAATGGGCAGATGTTGGTCAAAGTGTACAAACTTTCAATTATAAGATGAGTAAGCTCCAAGGATCTAATGTACAGCATGGTGATTAGAGTTAATAGGATCTAATGTACAGCATGGTGATTAGACTCAAATCTTCTGACCTCGCTGCCAGTCCACCTAGGATCTAATGTACAGCATGGTGATTAGAGTTAATAATACTACGTGGTATACCTGAAATTTGCTAAGTAGATCTTAAGTATTCTCGCCATGCACAAAAGTAATTATGTGAGGTGATGGACAAATAATTAATAAAAATATTACAATATTATTGACTATATTCCCATGCTGTATTTTATATCCCTGCAACTATTTTATAACTACCAATTTATACTTCTTAATCCCTTCACCTTTCTCAGCCCTGGAACTCCTCTCCCCTCTGGCGACCATCAGTTTGTTCTCTCTATAAGTCTGTTTCTGTTTTATTTGTTTTTTTTTAGATTCCATATATAAGTGAGATCCTATGGTCTTTGACTTTCTCTGACTTATTTCACTTAGAATAATACTCTCTAGGTCCATCTATCCATTGTATATACATACTACTTCCTCATCCAATCGTCTACTGATGGGAACTTAGGTTGCTACTATATCTTGGTTACTGTAAATAATGCTGCAATGAACATAGGGGTGCATATATCTTTTTGAATTAGGGCTTTGCATTTCTTTGGATAAATACCCTGAAGTGTAATTACTGGGTCTTAAAGTAGTTCTATTTTAAATTTTGTGAGGAACCTCCATACTGTTTTCCACAGTGGCTACACCAATTTGCAATCCTACCAACAGTGCACGTGGGTTCCCTTTCCTCCACATGCTCGTCAACACTTGTTTGATGTATTGATGACAGCCATTCTAACAGGTGTAAGGTGAAATCACGTTATGGTTTAATTTGCAACTTCCTAGTGATATTGAACATCTTTTCATACGTCTATTGGAACTTTTCCTTGAACTTCAGCCTCATATAACCCCACGTGAACAGGCATCTCAAGCCTGACATGTCTAAAATGAAATTCTTAATTCTTGCTCCAGCCATCCCTCCATACCTCTCCTCCCTCAAATCTTCCTCATCTCAGTAAACAGCAACTCCATCCTCCCAACAGCTCAGGCCAAAGGCCTCGAAGTCACGCTTCACTCTTTTGCTCTTATACTCTACATCCAATCCATCAGCAAATCCTGTCAGCTATATAAAATGACTGCTTCTTACTACTTATTGCTGCCACCTAGTCCTAAACCCCAATCACCTCTCACCTGGATTACTAAATCAACCTCTTAACTGGTCTCCCTGTTTCCATCCTTGCCTTGACAGCTGATTCTAAATGCAGCAAGACTAAGCCTTTAAAAATATTAAGTCAAATCCTCTAACTCTTCCCCTCAAAACCCTCCAACCACCTTCTTCGCTCAGAGTAAAAGCCAAAGTCTTTACCAAGACCAGTTAGCTCTCAGACCCCACCCTTCCATCCCTTACTCTGCTCAAATCTTCTGACCTCGCTGCCAGTCCCCACTAAGACTGGCAGTTTCTGGGCTTTTGCAGTTACCTCTGCTCTAGATGTACTCCTCCCTGAGGCAGCTGCATGGCTATCCTGCACTCTTCAGGTTTTGCTCAAGAGTCTTCTCCATGACACTGTTCCTTACTTTAAAATCGCATCTGCTCCATCCCTGGTGTTCCCTATCTCCCTTCACTGCTTTATTTTTCTTCTTAGCAACTTTTACCATCTGACTGGATATATTTTAATTTGTAAAAATTATTTTGTTTTTCATCTTCAACCCCATCTTCCTCCAGTGGAATGTTGTTAGCGCCAAGAGGACAAAGATTTTGTTCTATGTTGTTCACGCCTGCATCCCGAGAGCCCAGAAGAGTGCCTAGACATGGAAGGCACTCAAAATACATTTGGTATACAGATGCTGAACATTCCAACTTTTTTTTTTTTTTGAATATGCAAACTCTCAACTTGTGATAAGGCTAACAGATTTAGGACACTATAATATCCGACCTCTTTCCACAACAGGAAATATGATTTCTCTCCGACACTGATAAAAATTGTGAAATTTTTATCTTCCATAGTAACTCAATTTGCTCTAAAAAACATGCCAAAAAAATCTCTTCATTCCTTCTCTTTACTCTCTCCAATGCCGTCACATCTTGTAAAATATTAACGTACTGTCATCGAAAAAATTTTCATTTCAGCACTACTGTCAAAATATTGCAAAGGCAAAGTAAACTCATTAAAACTGGTATTGAAACACAAATAAAGAAATGAAGCTTGTTTACAACCAAATAAACCCATCTATATTACAAATGAAACTGTATTAGAGTCGTGAGGGCGCTAGTCCAAAGTTTAACTTCATTATCATTATAATCCTTAATGAGCAAACATTTTTTCCCATTAAACTCCTTTTAAACTAAAAACTAAAAAGGAGTTGGTATACGGCTATTGCATATAGCCAGAAGTCAGTTCGCGCTACAAATCAAATAAACAAACAAACAAAAATATCTTATAGTAACACGTCTGGATCATTAACAGAAGCAGGGACACTGGTGTAAGGGAGAGGAGGCTCAAAGTTCACACTCTGCTACCTGTGTGACCTTGAACAAATTTAGACTCTGTGCCTCAATTTTTTTTATCTGTAAAATGAAAATGGCACCTCACAGGATTGCTTTAAGATTAAATAAAGTTACCAGGTATTTAAAACATTCAGCACAATGTCTGACATATAGTAAGCACTGAAGATAGCTACTACCATAACGTAATCCCTACATCACTGATATTACAGCTCAAGCTAGGTACCACCATTTTTCCTTGATACCACCTTGGTACCACCATTTTTCAAGGAATGAGAAGCGTTGCTTATTCAACGGTATATTCTTTACCTCATTATGTTTATATTCTGAAATTGTGGAACGTTTTGAAAAATAAATGTCTTTTCCTCCAGGCAGAGCACTGTGTCGGAAAACCTGGGGAGTAAATAACCTGCAATTCTAACGGGCGAGTGCTGCCTTTGAACGCAGGCACCCCGGGAGCCTGGTGCCATTCCCGCAGTTCGCTTACATCTCAACAGCGTTTACGCCTAGACTGCGAGTTCCTTATAATCGGCCGCGTACTCTGTGCTAATGCGACAAAAGCACACGGTTCGTCAGGCCTGATGACTAGAGGCGGGCTATGGCTTCAGCTCGGACATCACACCTCCCGATTAACCGCGAGCGCACCCAGCCCATCTCGCCCGCCGGGGCGGGCAAATCTATGGTTACACTCTCGCGCGCACAACCACAGCCACGGCACGCAAAAGCAAACAAGACGCCTCGCAGGCCATTCCCAGCCCTCAGGAGCAGCACAGCCCCTGCCCGGATCCGCGACGACCCGCCCGGCTCCCTCCGGCCGCCGCGTAGGTGCGCGAAGGCCGTGCGGCCTCGCCCCTCACAGCCCCGGGCCAGGCCGCGGGCCGGGTTCTCCGGTGCTTCGGGGGCCGGCGGGGGAAATGTCAGTGGCTTCTGCCCTGCAAGTGTCCACAGGCCCCGTCCCAGGTACCTTCGACCCGGTCGAGCAGAGATGCCAGCTGCTGCACCTTCCCGGCAGCCGCGGCGACGACGCGCGGGGGCGACAGTCCGGCCACAGAGCCACGCTGAGCCCCAACTGGGCCAGAGCGGCCTCGCGCCGCAGCGGCCGGCGCGCCCCCTGGAGGCGGGCTGCCCGCACGGCGGCTCGGCCTGCTCGAATCGGAAAGTCGGAGTCAGCCAGCCGGCTCTGAATACCGCAAAGTACCCAAACTGCGGCAGGGCAGAAGGGGAAGACAACCTGAGTTTTCTCCGATCTGAGTCCAGGAGTATTTTGCATTTTTCGCGCCCTTTTCTATATGTACACGCACCCACTCAGCTAAATGAAGGCTTCAAAGGCAAAGACAGTTTTATTAATTAATAGTTGCTGCCCAGTAGGTAAGTCTTCTCTATAACCCAAACTGTATTAGCAACTAATGAATGACCGCTCTAACTAAAATGTGACCCTGAGTTTCTTTTTTTGTTTTTGTTTTTTCAAAAAAGGTTTGAATATTTACATCCCACTTTTTAGGATTCCCCAGACTAAGTGCAACATACATATGTACTAGTAATATGGTTGGTGATCTGGGTGGTAGTAAGTTCATTTACCGCAAATTTTTTTTGTTTACCATCTCTGATCCTACAGCCAAGAAGACTTCCTCTGCGCAGTGATCATTGCTCCTCTGAATCCTAGCATACTATCCAACCAAGCCACCTTCTAGAATGTCACATGACCATCCATTCAAGGGCGATTACTCAGTCTGTTCTTGGAAATGTCATGTAAATGTTTACGATTATTGTCAAATTTGAGAAAACCTCTATCAAATTTCTTTCACATAAGAATTATAAGATTTCAGGGCATTTAACATTTTCTGATTAGTGCAGTGGTTTGTGATTAGTGCAGTGACTAATTGCAAATATTAAATACTCTTCAAACGGATGACATTTATTAACCAATTTGTCATGGATGTCCTTGTGATTGTGTGTTAAGTTTATAATATTTTCTTTGATGCCTGTAAATTATGTCAAATCAGAAAAGAATTTCAACCTTTTCCCAGTGTTTTCATATGATTCACTCTTCTTCATTAATTGGTTTAGCAAACAATCTGAGAGCCTATTCATTACTTCTATTCAAATATATCTCTCCGTCGTCATGAATTACTGCTTTATTTGATCTGAAAAATGTAGGGACTATATGGACAGCTTTTTTCTCCGATGAGATTAAGGGAATGGATTGCATGCTACATAGTCTGTGACTCCTTCATGTCACCACATCTTGGGACTGTAGCACAGTGGGCATAAGGAGTATTCACGGAAGCCATTCCCACACTTCTGCAATAACTTAATGCTGCATGGAAGTGACCATGAACCACAGGTACTTATACCACTAAACACAAACTAAAGTATCTTCGACTACATCTCTCCTTAGCCAGAGCCTGAAAATATCTGTAGCCACTCAGTGCTACTCAATCAGAGGAGAAAAGAGCCTTGGGAAGTTTGCAAAGGGACAGCAGCTTTAATCAATCGTAGTGAAATATTTTAATTTTGCAAGCTTTACAGAAACATTTGAACATGTGAACACACTTCCAGAGTTCCCTCCAGGATCTCAGAAGGGGGCTGTACAAGGGGAGGCTGTATTCCCTATTATCATGGTAACAAACTACCACAGACTAAAAGACTTAAAACAATAGTAATTAATTCTCTTATAGGTCAGGAGGTTAGAAGTCCCAAATCAGTTTCGCTGGGCTAAAATCAAAGTGTAGGCAGGGCTGCATTCCTTCTGGAGGTTCTAGGGAGCCTCCATTTCCTTGCCTTCTCCAGCTTCTAAAGGTTGCACACACTCTTTGCCTCCTGACCCCTTCCTTCATTTTTAAAACCAGCAGGGTAGCATCTTCTCATCTCTTTGACCTCTGCTTCCATCCTCGCATCTTCTCTAACTTTGACACCCCCCCTCCCCCCACCCCCACCCCGCTGGTGTGAAGACGTGGCTCCTTCCCCTAGACTGGACCCTTAGCCGCCAGAGCCCCACGTGGCTCCTATGTGCCCGACTCGTGGGAACCACAGCGTCCGGAGGGTAGGACACAGGAGCCTCCTCCCCATCCTGGGCTACGGCACCTGGCTTCAGCAGCACGCGGGGAGGGCTTCTCCTTAAACAGCAGTAGGTGGCAGAGGAGGGCTGCGGAGGGCTGAGGGCAGAGGAGCCAGGACAGGTCCACACTGGGACTGGGCATAGGATGCCTGCCTGGGCCTGAGGCTTTGCCCCCATCCTGACTGTCCACCAC